TAAATCAAGGAAAATCTTTGATTTTTCTCGGTCGTAAGTTCTGGGAAACTTTTTCGATTGTCTTAGACTGTTGGAGGATACCCATTCCAGGTTACGGATAGAGTCCTCCAGGTTCTAACTAGGTTAACTAGGAAAGCAGAACAGTTCTGATCCAGATAGTGGAGTGTTCGCTCCTTTTCTAACTACCTAAATCGTTTGCTTTTTCATTGCCTTCTATCCCTTGATGAGCGGGCACCCAGAGTAGGAAGACTTTACTTTTTTCTTCTTTAATAACTTGTTCAGCTTCTCTAGGCATTCTTTGACCAACTTCGAATTGTACAGTATACAGGGAGTTCCAAAAAAGCTGTAAGTTTTTTCAAATTGCAACACCCATGTTCCATTTTGCAGAGTTGGGTTCGCCATAAAATTTTGGATAAATATAGTACAATATTTTGGTTTGAAGCGCTATGTGGTATTGACATGGTATTTCTTATTTGCTAAAACTTTGGTCAAAAACAGTATATTAGAAAAGTGGGGTGAATTTATCGTTAGGTATTAATAATTACCTATATTTTCCTAGACACTAAGAATAACAGAATTATTCCGTGAAGGAAAAAAATCATTCTGTCATCCATACCACTAATATTGACAAAAAACTCTCACTTAACAGGTCATTAATTAAGATTAACGGGTCAGCTAATATTAAATATACTAAGGAGTTGTATGAAACAGCATAAACATTTTACAGACATTCTTTTTTGAGATTGTAATTTGTGTTGACACTGAGGCTGCAAAGATCTATGTAGCTTAGAGAAGAAAATAGGAATTTATCAAGGAAAATAAATAGAAAATTTTAAAATATTACCTATTGAGATGATATTTGATAATATCTAGTTTTTTTTCGTCAAACCCAAAACCCAAACATTTATAACATTCTTCATTTACATTTGCTAGCTAGGAAACTGGATTTTATAATATTTTCCTTTCCTTAAAAAACAAAGCCAATATGCAAAAGAGCACGTTACAAATGTTTCTCAAACTGACCACAGAACAACATTTGAATTGTTCGGAAATATCATGCTGGTTCTTCCAGACTGATTGCAGGTTTTATCTTCACCGATCAAAAGAAAAAAGGAGAGATGCAATAAGGAAAGAATCTATGAACTAAACTAAACACAATATGGAAAAGCCATCAAATATCTCTCAGCACTAAAATGAAACAGGTCAGAAGTTTCGTGTTTCGAGGGTTTCTCTAGGGATCGAAATGCTGTGTCCTAAAAAAAGTTAAAAGAAAAACTGAAATTAAATGCATTGGAAATGTTCTGCTGACGCAAAATGCTTTGACTATCCTGCACCAAGAAACGAACCAAATAGTCCATTCTGGATCAGTCGTTTTACCCGTTCGTAGTTAAATATTGAAAGTGTAACGCTTCGTTCAGAACCTCTTCAGAATTAGTGGAATAAATTAGTGGTTTTAATTAGCGTAGAAGTGTGTTCCTCTAATTTGAATGTAAGCATTCAGAACGTTAAAATTAGTGGTAGGAATTTTCAATTAGTGGAAAAAGTTATCAAACTTTTAACTTTTCCACTAATTATACTTTAAAATTTGCGAGGAATGCCATTTTAGTCTTTGATTATCATCCGTCAAGAGAAAATGTGGTTAGAAATCAAAAGTTTATTGTTGTGTGTGTAATTGAAACCACTAATTTATTCCACTAATTGCAAGGTTCTGAATGAATCTTAAAGCTTCATTCAGAGCCTCGATATTAGTGGAATGAATTAGTGGTTTCAATTCAATACCCCATACTTAAAAGCTAATGATCACTCACAATGTAAAAAATATAAATAAAATTAATAGAATATCCTAGCAACCACTTGCGCTAGCCAGTTGTATCCATAGAGAGAACCTAATATTAGTTACCTTATGAAACAATAAACTTTTTGTTTCTAACCACAATTTCTCTTGACGAATCATAATGAAAAGCTAAAATGTAATTCCTCGCAAATTTTGAAATATAATTAATGGGAAAAATTAGAAGTTTGTTAACTTTTCCTACTAATTGAAAATTACTACCACTAATTTTAACGTTCTGAATGCTTACATTGAAATTAGAGGAACAAACTTCAACGCTAATTAAAACCACTAATTTATTCCACTACTATTTCACGGCTCTGAAGTTTAACGGTCGAAAATCAATATTTTATAATTCAATAACCTATAGCGTAGCGACAGGTACAAAAATCAATTTCGTGCGGCGTGCGAAAAGTCACTCCGACCAACCGTATCGGTTAAACACTACACAAACTGATCCACAGTCAAATTGCGGCAGAGCGAGACGGCGAATCCGATAGACTCCGCGCGTGCGACAAAGAGAGAAGGGCCGTGTGTAAATGTGTGTGTACGCTAAGGCTACCCACCCACGGCATAGATCCAGCTTTGTTATGCGGTCAGAGGCGGAGTACCGGGGCATAACTAACAGATCGAGAAATAAGTTTGTAGATACAAAGTTCGGGGCGTTAGGATGTTTATAATTGGGTTAATGCGGTAGGCGTTAAATGGAATTCCATAGAATTGGATTAAATTAAACGTGGATCGATGGAGTTATGTCCATTAAACATAGTTTTTTCGATTCCATTTTAAATTATTTCCAACTTTATCTAGTTCGTAATATAATAAAAATTTTACTTAACAAAACATATTAATTTTACATAATTACTGCCAGGAAGAAGATTCAAAATTAAAAAGAAAAAAAAAACAAAAAGCAATTACATTATAAACTCTACTATTATGAATATCATTTTTATTTATCAAATTTATAATAATTACAAATTATGATCACAGAGTGAAATTTCGGTAAAAGCTATTTTGTCAGTCATGTTGTTTTTTATACTGAGTGTTTTTACAAGGTTTATGAGTAGCACAGTTCTGGTACTTAACTTTAATACCCTTCAACATTCAACATACATTTGAATATTAAATTTGTGGGTGTGAGGCTTAAAAAATGATTTTGCTACTTTATTTAAATACTTATTTACGCTACCAGCTAACCTACAAATAATTTGCATTGGCTTGCTTCTCACAGCTTTAGCTAGCTTTATCTCAGGTTCATACCTGAAATTAAGAATCTAGAAAACAGGTACCTTTTTTGATTCATGCTGCATTTTCATGTAATAGAAATATATAAGTTCCAATAACTTCCATAATACAGAGTATCTTACGATTAAGAACTTTTAAGATAAAGCAAAGATATTTTTTGCTTTTGACAATTATATATTTTATTTACTTTATAATTAAAATTTAATTTCTTATAGACTTTCTGGTCATAGTATATATTATGTAGAATGTATTATTAATTAGCATTGCCTATACAGCTGTTACGTTAAGTTTAATTTTTTTGTATCAAATATATCTGAGTTAATTCAATATATTATTTATTATTAACAAAACATTTTTTTCTTTGGTATGTATGCATTAGACTCAATTAGACTGGAGGCATTAGATTCAACTAATTGTCTAATTTAATTATTAACTTAAATTAAAATTTGTTCAATGTACTAAACACAGACTATTTGTATCAATTTTACATACAGCGATTTTAGTTTAACTGTGAACATAGGCATCAATCATTGTAATTTATAAAATACCGACAGGCAATACTGTTTTTTCGACGAAAAAATAATAGACATGAAATAAAATTCAATTTTTTTCATCGAAATTTAGGATTTTTGGTAATTTTTTGGGCTAGAACTATTTTTAGCTAAACAAAAAAAAATATTTTAAAACAAAAAATATGAATTGTTGTGTGAGTATAGTTGCATACTATTCACTTAAATCCAATGCATTGACTGTTCCGCTTTAAAAATGAACATACTTAGCAAAATAGCATTGTACTCTGTTAAGCCCTATGTTCACAGTTAAAATAAAAACACGGTATCTTTTAAGGGCTGTGCTAAATAATCCCTATATCTTTAAAGGAGGACAACATTAGCAGAATATTGATGAAAATTAATAAACTGTATTGAATGTTTTTAATGAAGGAGTTTATTTTTCAATGAGATGTGTATAGAACCATTAATATTATTTGATTAGTGACACAAAAAATGATAAAATGCGTATATCACGCGAATAATTTGTGATATTTGATTTTTTTTTCTAATGAACGTTTAAAATATGACAAAATTGTATAATTACTTTATTTTTTTTGGAGATTATTTTGTTGTCCCTAATTTTTTTAGTATCCTTAGTAATAATAAATTTAAATATCCCTAATTCATCAAGAATATTAGATATGTCAACTAAAATACTTGATGAATTCTAAATGTCCCTTACTACTTTAGAGGAATTTTGGACAATGTTTAAAAGTTGTTTATTAATAGAATTGTTTTTATTTGGTACTAGGACTTAAATGGGATATTTCCTGTAAATTGAATATCTATAAATAGAGAAATACGCAGCGACAACGTGAACAAAATCGTTAACAAGATGTTATTTGCCGATATTTCCGGATTATTTATCTACATATCTCTTCAACCTTGTTTATCCTAAATTCAATTCAAAACATTCAAAATGGTACGTACACATACCGGAGCTCGACCTTAAGTTTGTTTGGTTTTGTACTAATACCGGCAATTCGTTCGTGGCGCATGTCCATATCGCACATTTTTTTCGTATTATTTATTCGTGCAACCTTCGAACGGCGTGTTTATAATTAACAAATTATATCATTTATTTATTTACTTACTAAACGCCGAGCAAAAAAATGATATCACGCAACCAAACGGCAACGCTATAATAATAACAATAACTCCGTTAAAACAGACGCGCGGTGTGCGTCCCCAATTACGTACGCTTACGGTAGACCTGATTAATTTTAAAGAAACAGGGGGTGGACGATCCGGCAACGTTGCTTGTCGCCTTTGCCAGGCCGCCTCTACGGTTGATATTCCCCTACTTCCCCCACCAGTCGGCGTTTCGGTGCTTACGTGCAGCGAGAAACACTACGACAGAGAAGGTGCTTCGTGCTTCGACTATCGCATCACTCGAAAACTAGAATTCAGTTGCGTGCCGTCTGTAATTGGGAGCGGATCGGTTAGAAATTTCCCAGTTTGAGCGATTATACAGTGACACTTCTTTTAAGTGTATGACAATTTATACACACCACTTTCGGAACAGTACACAGTCAAATTAATTGCGCGTTTCGATCGATAAATACAGTAAAAATCGGGAAGCGAAACAATATTAAGTGCCAATGTAACTGATACAGACTTCGAGATCGACGAAATATCCAAGGATTTTTCTTCCCAAGACTCATTGTGTTGATAAAAACAATTCATTCTTTATGTGTTCTTTCAAATGCTGGGATATACTTCCTATAGGTAATATTCGCCAAAGTGAATTTGAAAATTTTAATTCAAAAGTTGTTTTCTTTAGAAGTCGACTAAAGTCTTGCTTTATTTTGTATTCATCTAAAGAAAAAAACTTTTATAACAATTTATCTTTAATAAAATTATTTCAACTTTTTATTATTAAAAATGTTGTTTTAATGATCGTATCAAACCTCAAAAATTTTCAAAAACAAAGGACTTTAGTGAATGAAAGTGACAAAAAGTGGAAAAAACTGTATATACAAACAGGACTTTTTAACAAACAATAATTGTGATTAAAGTGATATCGTGCCCAAAAACTTGGATAATCAGTGTATTCGAAAACATTCTGAAGATGCCGTGTTGTGGTAAAGTTAGTGAAAAACAAACAGATTAGACTGAAAGCCGCGGTGGAATCTTATCGCACATGTGTATCTATCTTGTTTGACTGTTCATTCTCGTGTTTACCAACAAGGATTTTCGTGTTCGCCGCATTGAGACAATGAGAACAGTGATTGTAAACGGCGTGATAATCGAAATAAACTGTTTAGTGGTCGCGTAAAGTGACGAAGATTTTTGTGGTGAATTCTTGGATACTTATCGCATTTTTGATTTGCTTGGATATTTTTGACAAAATTTGTGGATTCTTAACAGGTTTTGCATGAAGTCGTTTACTTAAATTATTTTGATTAAAGCAAAATATTGATTGATGGTTTATTGTACTAAATTCAGATATTCAAAAAACTGATATTTTCTGTAGTATAAATCTTTTATCACTTAAAAAGTCTAAGTGAAATATCAAGTCCAACTAAAAACTCTAATAGACCACTTTTAACAGGACTCCAATATTACAGACTCGAAAAATAACTAATAAAAAAATATTATTGAATTTCAAAACTGACAGAATAAAAATTATACACTCGAAATAGTTTTATTATTCACTCAAATTTTATCAAAAAGTGCATCTGTATATAAACAGAATCTTCAAAAAATAGATGAGGTCATTGACTTTTGATGTCTCTGAATATTCGAAATACTATTTCAGAATTCTCTAACAAAGATTGAATTAAGCACACTGAATAAAATAAGATGGAAACTAATACCAATTTGAAAATATGATTTATTGTCCAAAAAGACATAGCTGATATCCAGTTTTTGAATTATTAGATTCTATTTAAAACTCGTTCGATCCAGTTAGGAATGTCACGAAAAATGCTCTTGGCATTAATTTCAGATGCAATGCTATTTTCGCGTAATATTTGCTCATTCACTTAGCAACAATAATCTCCGCGGATATTAACTAAATCAGGAATGCGCGCGTACGTTATCATTATCGTCTCATTCATGACTCGAACCTTTTGTTAATGCGTTGTATAAACCGTCTGTTTTTTTCTGGCTAGGGTCACTTAAACACTAAATTAAATCCAGTAGATACCTACCTAATCATTAGCCTGTAATTAATTCATTAGAGTTTTAAATACATGGGATTGTTGTTTACGACTCAATCAATTACTTTCTTGTCAGACCTTATGTTAATGGATTGTACAAACCAAACATCACTTTTTTCTGGCTGTAGTAATTTTAACAGTAAATAGGATCCAGTAGATATCTAATCATTGGGTAATGAATTCATTAGAGTTTCAAATGCTTAAGATGTTTACGGCTCAATCAATTACTTTCTTTTGGAAATTAATTAAGCTGGCTGGCTCGCTAAATTAAGCAAAAGCTCATCCGATGGCTGAGAATTGTTTCGCTCCGCTATTTATATACCTTCGACCTCAGGCGACGTTGCCGCTAATTCCAAGATTTTCTTCAGATTATTTTGGTTAAAAGATTTATTAAGATAAATTAAACTATCTCATCGTTTAAATTTGCTTATGAGTAGGTTTTTTTCGATAGAGTTTTTAGTTCGATGTTAAAAATTAAAAAGTTAAATTAAATTTTTAAATTTTTGTGAATAAAATACTATTAAGTTTATACTAGCTACCTATAATTTTGAAATCTTAACAGAAATTATATTTTCAGAATATTTTGGCGGTTGTAGTATATTAAACACACTATAATTATCTCTCAAGACGTTGTAAATAAAATAATAATGATTTGAAAGATGTTTTCGTAACCGGTAATGCAGTCTATTAAAAAAAGGCCTTAATGTAATTCAATTAATCATGATATTAACCGAGTACAAAACTATATTTTTTACTTGAGGGATCTGTAAAGAAATTATTTAAGCAGTAGAAGAATTAGCTTTAGTTGAATGGGCTTATTGATACAATTAATTATATTTTTTGACCTCAAAATTTAATAACATTTTGAGTAAAATTCATTCATAAAATACGAACAATGCAAACAATCTATAAGAGACAAATAAAAAGATTTTTGCACAAAAATATTATTACAGCTATTTTTTTAATCATAGTGTTGATATATAATTGACACTGTAACAAACAAACTTGACAAAATTTACACTCGTGAAATTTCTGGTATTTTAAAAAACTCTGAGATACATTTATTTCTAAAACCATCAATAGTAATTTCAGAAAGAAGTACGTGTAGTCTAATTTTAAAGATTTTCTCTAATATCAATAGCACTAAATTCGAACATAACTATTTTTATACGATTTTTTCTATACTATTGTGATTCATATCTTTTATAATTGAATTGTAATAATTATGATAATTTTGATGATAAACTTCAAAGTATTATTAAAACAATATAAAAATTATTGTAATTAAAAAAGAACTGTAGTTAACATATTCGCGACAGTTCGGATTTACAATCATGAGTATAATGATAAATGACAATTTTTCTAACTTCTTAATACCTGTGCGAAATAGAGAGCAAGTATTAGCTTAAGTATAATACATTATATTATAAAGATTTATAAAATGAGCATTTATACAAATAGTAAGACTAAATACAGTGGAGATATATATTAAAAATACCAGAAGGCCCAAAATGCGTGTAAAAAAGATAACTGCAAAATGTACTTATTTTTTTGTTATATACGATAAGTACGAATCCACAGACACAACTTTTCAGACCTTTTATAAAGATTTGATTCCAAATTACCAAAATTAATGTTTTGTTTATATCTCTACTCTAAACCATTCCTTCTGTGTCAAAAATATTGACAGTGGCCTGTTAAAGAATCCCATTCACCTGATTTATTTACTTTGTAGTAATCGTTGAAATTATTAGCCGCAAAATAATTCTAAAATTCTGGTTAATTAGTAGAAAAATCACTCAAAGACGTTGGCTAAGAGGGTGTTTGTTTATTGCAGGGACTGGTCTCCGGGTGGACTCAACACCCAGCAGCAGTTGTCCGTCGTGACCACCGTGTGGGGAGTCACCACGTCCACGCAGTCGGGCCCCCACGGGGCGTACGCAGGGGGCCCTGCTCCCCAGCCCTTCTCCAAAGGGGGACAACCCAACGGCTACGGTGGACAAAACAATTTTAGAGGACATGGGTAAGTTGACAGTTACTTTTTAACCGCACAAAAAAATGGAGCTTAAATTTATAGCGATAGAGAGTCTATTTGTTGATGGAATGTTCTCGAAAATCGTATAAATCGAAGATTTAACCTAATAATATGTCAGTGGCAGACATGAGTACAAAAGCTTTTCAAAAGAGAAGTGTCTGCATGCAAAAATCCTAATTTTATTGTAGATTTAACAAAAAAAAATATTTGATTTCAAGTTATCAAATATTCGATTAGACTATGGAGGATAGAGGTAAAGAGAATTATCTTCGTGTATTGAAGAATGGTCATCAAACCACCGGGAACACTTTACGGTGGCGCTGCTGTAGTAAAAATTCTACATTTGAAAGAAGCGCCAAGAATTTTTAGAATAGGAAGTAATTAAAAAGAGATAGTTAAATATGCGATTTCTGAAGGCGAGTGTTGCCTCTCTTTTTTATAGTCACCAACCCTCAGGGTTTTGTTCGGATGCTACAAATTAAATTACCACAGATGCACATTTTCAACTCAATATTCAACATTTTTGGGGCTGCCTAATGCACAATCGAAAATTTTCAAGGAACAACCCTCAGACTAATATTACATTATAAATTACTACAAATAAGCCACTCTTGAATTGTATAGGTCTAATTGTGAATGGAATGTTCTCGAAAATCGTGTTAATCGCAGACTTTACCTAATATGTCAGGGGCAGGACATGGGTACAAAACTTTTCAAAAGAGAAGACTCTGCATGCAGAAAACTCTATTGTAAATGTGCATAGTATATCAAATCTTCGTTAATAAATATTATTAAGTATTTATATCTAATATTTAATGGTTTAGATAATTCTGATAATGTTTTCTCAAAAACACCTTTCTTGCTTCTGATCCAGCTGTCAGAAAAAAAAACAATAATGCAAAGGTCACCTTAAACGATCTTGATACGCCACTGTCGTTACCACCCAAACGATCGTCAAACCATCTGCAACCGGTCTATTCCCGAAAGGAAAAAAACGAGCACGTGCATCTTGAGAGATATAGACAGGCCTCTTTTCGAAATCATCGTCTTCGCATTCCGTCTCTCTTCTGCTGCTCCTTTTTACCTAGATTTCTAAGAAAGCGCCCGGTTCTCTGACAGGCGGACTGGCCCATGTGCCCTTCTTCCGAAAGCTACAATGGAGGTACCTCCGAGAACGGTACCAAGCCGGGGGTTTACAAGCCGACCATTGTCAAAACAATCGTCATGAACTGAGCCGCTGCCTCAATGAAGGACGGTGGCAAGGCGTTTAAGAGGGTGCTAAGTAATGCTGGTGCGGTTTACAAAGTACGAACAGATGTTCATGTTGGTTTATCAGTCAAATTTAAACAATTTGCTAACTGCTACGTCAAAATTTCATATAAATATTGAATATAGGTTTCCTACTGTAACTAATTTCCATTAAAAGAGTTTAATGTTTATTTTTTTAATAAAAATTAGATGCCACGAATTACAACAGAGCCATATAGAATATTTAGCAGGGGGATTAATAACCGCGACCTTACAGATCTATCGTGTGTTCCCATTTCTTGAGTTATAGCTGGTTAGTATATCTCAGTCGTGGAGACCTGGACCCTCAAGGCAAAAACTATGAACCGACTAGAGGCCTTTGAGATGTGGATATTTCGAAGATTGCTCAGGATTCCTTGGACTGATCGCGTGAGAAATGACGAAGTTCTGCGACGTATGGGAACGGAAAGAATGTTGCTTCAAATAGTTAAAAAACGGAAAACAGCTTACTTGGGCCACATATTTAGAAACACCAAATATCAATTCCTGAAACTGATTATGGAGATATGATATTATGATATAAGATTGAAGGAAAACGTGGCATCGGAAGAAAGAAGTATTCTTGGCTTAAGAACATCAGAGACTGGACTGGTCTCGATGCCCATTCACTCTTTAGAGTCGCCCAAGATCGAGACGAATTTGCCAGAATTGTCGCCAACATTCATTAAATGAATACGGCACACTAAGAAGAAGAAGTATATCTCACCATACAATCTCAGTTCTTTGACAAAAGCCAGTATCTGAGACGGCTCCATAGAAGCCAGCTCTCCATCTTCGACATCAGCCGAAGTTTATGGCACGAACGGTTGTCGTCTCGGTGCACTCAGTGATAAGGTGTTCTGATGTTTCCCCATTTTCCCCACAGAACCTGCATTCGGCGTTGTTTCTCAGCTTTGATCTACTGAGTTGTTTGTTAAGGAGACAGTGTCCTGGTAGAACCCCGTGACAATCCGAAGATTGTTCTTACTTAAATCAAGGAAAATCTTTGATTTTTCTCGGTCGTAAGTTTTGAGGAACTTTTTCGATACTTAATTTAAATTAATTAAAAAAGGACACGTCAAAACTAGAAAAATCACGTGATTTCTACCATAACAGGTTACACTATTCGAACAGATGCATGTTTTTAAAGATTACCACTTTTTAATCAACAAAAAATTCCTCGTTTGGAAGACATAAATTTAAAAGACCATATCTAATAGTAATGTAATTTGATGGATTTTTAGCTAGCTTAGAAGTCAACACTAATAAACTTACAAACAAACGGAGTGAAACATCACAGATCATCTTTTGTTAAATCAACACCACACCCATTGGTCAGAGCCTAGAGATTTTCATCCAATTAATTATTAAAGTAACCACAATTTTTTTCTAAAATAAAAATGCAGAAGTTATCGTGGTACAATCTTACAGATGAATGAGTTTTTAAGTTTGAATAACTAGAACTCATATTGTATAATTTGTTGTAGCTTAGTAGAGTAACAAAACAAACAGAAAAAGACAGTCCAAAGAAAGTTTCATTTAACAGATTCACCAAACCAAATTATTAAAAAACTACTAAAAATTTAACTAATAAAGTAACTATTAAAAAATCGTTAATTAGTTAATCAGCATTTGTTTACGCCTCCTGTTTTAATCGTATGGTTGCGTATAGCCGCCCATACTAAAATATGTTAATAAAAAGTTGGTAGGCAGTTCTTTTAGTTTCAATTATCTCAAAAACTGCGACTTTGACTGATTTTGATGTTATAACAAATTTTGTTGCAAATATTATTCCTACTCTTAAATTGAAAACCGCGTTTCGCTAGCTACTGTAATTTTGGAGTTACGATTTTTTAAAATTTTTAACCCCCTCCCATACCCCTTTACCAACCCCCCACACCCACCAAAAACTAATGGCCAGATTCTTGGGTGCCACAGTATTTTTGTGCGAAATTTGGTTAAAATCGGTTTAGCGGTTTTTGAGTTATCGTGTTACAGACAGACGGACAGACACATACACCATGAAAATATTTTGTATTTAGATCATTTATGACCCAAATAACTCGTTTTGAGTGAAATTAAAAAAACTTTTTTTGCCGATCTTAATAGCCTACCAAACCTGTTGGTATGGTCGGCTAAAAAGATAGGAAAGAAAGAAACAACGAAAAATTAAATAACCAAACACCATTACCATAGCTGATATTTATATAGAATAAGAAAAGCCAAAATATTTGTCAAGAACAGCTTGTTCTTAAAACCCTATTGACAAAACATCAAGTCAAAGTCACAAAACAAATCCTTTCGGCGACACTAAGCGAAACTAACAAAAAAAAACATCTACTTTTCCACGCTTTAACGACTATTCAATTTACCGAAGTTAAATCTCTATTTACCGGGAAACAGTCATATTTCAATCTACTGGTAAACAAGGCGCGGTGTGCAGAAAGACGACGTTTCGGCGCTTTTTACAGTCGTCCTCCTCTCGGTCACAACACGCCGTTTACGTCCTAAATTGGGGAGGCCGTAAAACTTTTTACTACCTGCTTGTAAATCACCGCGCGGGCCTAACCGATAATAAGGGAATGATTTCGGAATAGAAAGATGTGGAAGAGAATCGGAGAAAGAATGAGAACGGAGCTGCATTTTGTAGCGACCGACCCACGGCGGGGTACCGTGAGAAAGAAAAAGACGGTACGACGTGACAAAAGGTGCGTTTTGACAAGTTTCCGAACTGAAAAATTTTCGGCGGCTCGAAACGCGGAGCGTTATGGGCGTTTCGATGTCGGTTTTGTGGGAAAGGATCGACAGGACCTTTTTGTATTGTTGTTTCGATAAATGTGCGTACAGACTTGATACAAAACATCTCAAAACCACATTCTCCTATATTCATTTTTTACTTCACGCTATGTGAACTTGTTCACTTCAAGCAGTAATGAATCTAGATCATCTCAAATTTTTGATTTGATTTTTAGATCGTAGATTATATCGGAGAGGGGAAGTTAATCACCGCGACCTTATAGATCTATTATATCCCCCTTTCTTGAATTATAACGCGTCATACACCTCAGGGTTTTGAGAAAAGCCAGTATCTGAAAAGGTTTTAGGTTAGTTCTCCATCTCCGATATCAGTCGTACCAATGTTTATAGCACGAATGATTGTCATCTCGGTGCACTCAGTGATGAGGCGTTCTGCTGTTTCCCCATTTTCCCCACTGAATCTACATTCGCCGTTGTTTCTTAGCTTCAATCTACTGAGATGTTTATTGATGAGACAGTCTTCTTTTAAAAACCCCGTGACAAACCGAAGATTGTTCTTACTTAAATCAAGGAAAATCTTTGATTTTTCTCGGTCGTAAATCCTGAGAGACCATTGGAGGTTATGGATGGAGTGTTCCAGGTTCTTGGGGTCTGCTTTAAGTTAGTTTCCACTTGGAAAGTAGAACGGTTCTGATCCAGTTAGTACTAGCTCCTTTTCTAGCTAGATCGTTTGCTTTTTCATTACCTTCTATCCTTTGGTATGCTGGCACCCAGGCTAGACTTAGGCAACGCTTTATTTTCTTTGCCTAATTTGTTCAGCTTCTCTTTAACCAACTTCGAATTAATGGTTACTGAGTTAATCGCTCTTAAGGCTGCTTGACTATCGGGTAAGATGGCTATTTCCTCTATTCCTACAGTCCGAATTTAAGATAAATTGTACGCAT